CGGGTTCGCGCTCTGGGTACGCTCTTTGTTCCGCCACGCAACAGCCCTTGGCTTGTGTACCGCCGCTTCTTGCGCTGCTGCTGGGCCATGCCCGTCGGTATTTGGTCGTCTGTCGCAGCCCGCACCACGGACTTGACCTTCTTGGTGCCACCACGAGGCTTATATCCAGCGGCGGTGTACAAATCCGGAAACGCGTTACGGAAGCGGTCTCGCAAATCCGTGGAACGCCGTCCCTGCTCCTGGAAGACGGGGTCCTTGACAATCACCGCCCAGAGCGTGCCGTGCTTGTCGTACCCGGCCTTGAGAGCGCGGTCCTCCTCCTCGGTAAATGGCCGTCGTTTTCTTGGAGCGTGTTTTTCTCGAACAGCGAAGTCCCGTCGGGCAGCGTTGAGCGCACTTTGTTGGAGAGATGTGTGCGGGCATTGGGGTAGTGCTGTTTGTATGCGTCTGGGTAGTATGTACGGAATCTAACACGCGTGCGTGCGTGTGAGCGAGTGTCCACTTTGCTTAAAACCCACACATACCTGTCCTTCAAGTCCACCGGAGAGCGATTGTCAAACTTGAATTCGGGGTCGCTGAGAATCGTCTTCCAGTTGCCGACACCGTGCTAATCTCCGTTAGCTGGCGTAATAAATATAACGTCGAAGACACACACCTTGTTGCACCCGTCAACGAGCATCTTGGTCTCTTCCGGCGACCACTTCTTGCGCGCCTTCTTCTCTGCCAGCGGCGACGACGACCCGTCATCACCTCCGTCGCCGCCATGAATCATCCTAAACTTGCCGCGGTTCTCCTCCTCGCTAAGCGCCGCGCTCGTCTCTGCAACATGTGACTCCAGTCCAGTATCGTCCGGAAGTTGAACGCAGGCACCACCCGTGGCGAGTTGGGCAGCGCGAGCGACACCCGTCGATGCTTAAGCGGTATTGCGGGGAACGGCGCCTTGAAAGAGAATGTCGATGTCGGAAGCGGGTGGCGCTGGAACCACTAGATGGCAGCGCAGGTGGCGCTGACGTGGACGCCGGCTCAGGCGCCATGGTCGTCGTCGTCGTGGTAGGAAGCCAAGAGCGAAAGTGGGATGCTCATGGGCACGTTGCCGCCAGGGGCTCTCCAATTTGGGAAATATTCCCGCGCCGGCGCGTCCCCATCTCCACAAAACTCAGGCATGGGTGGGAGTGTCTACTCGCGATTTGGATTGTGAGATCTTCCGCAGCGTCCGCTCGACCTGGACTTTCATTTCAGGTAATCTGCCTCACAACAAGCATCTCATCTCCGAACAGACAGACCGCCTTGCCTCGTATCTAACGGAATTTGATTTATCAGTTGGCCTCGAGGAGGAGGTGCAGACCGTCTGTCGCCTAGTAAGTACACGAGGTTTCATGTGTACGCAGCGTCAGGTGAGATTCTGAACACGACATTATTGGAGCATGTCCGTGTGGCGCGCCAGAGGAGGGGGGGAGCTAGCGCGCGACGCAATATTGAGTCGTCCGAGAGGCCGTTGCACCATATACGATGACGGAATACACGTAGCATATTTTCAGCTGTCCATCGTTCTAGAATATCTTGCAGTGCGGCCGTATAAGAGGCCAATGAAACGATCGCAGTTGAACGGCACATTCATATCCCTTTCCTTCCTGAATACCAGGTTGATTCTGCCAAGTTTCTGGCTCGGGACCTGGGCAGCCCAAGGGCAGCCAGCTGGGAAAGACTAAGCTGATGTTCAGTGTCATGAGTGTTCCTGGAGGTCAGACTCATGCTCGCGCGGCCACTTTGAACATGTTTGTTAGGCAAAGTTATCCTGGGGTGGGGTGAGTATGGTGAGTGGAGGTGTGGCATCATGTTCGGTAGAAAGGCGATGTGAGCTGGTGAATGATAGGAAGTTTGACCACCTAGGCTTTCTACTGCGGCTTCGCCGTATGTTATCGACTTTCTTAGGAACGGAATACGAAATGACAAGAATGCGAAGAAGGGAGGTCTCCTCACAACTCTCGACTTGAGCTGCATCGGACAACTTGAATCTTATCATTGAATGACCACTGTGAATTGAAGTCTGGCCAGGCCAGGGATCGTACCTGTGGCCACTGGCGTAGCAAGATTATAAAATGAAATCTGGGTATGGAAGTGACCGAGAAAGACGAGATTCGGGACATGTCATAGGATGGTTAGTGGCGGGAAGTAAACCCGAGGTTTTCAACCGGAATGTAACACTTTGAAACGCCAGATACATTGAGCATTCGAAAGGGGGCCAACATCCGCCGAAGGTTTGTGGCGCTATGCTGGTGAATAGTTGCCATGTGGACGCCGAAAAACATCTCGAAAAGCGCATTCGGATACAGGGAATCTAACCCACAGCTAGCGCGACATTGTATGAACTATTGGTATCCAATGTTAGCGGTTATACCATATCCGACGATAGCAGGAAAGTACATGATTGCACTCAGTTTGCAAGTGCTGCGCGCGGCGGAATGGCAGATACTCTTACTCTGGAGACGATCTTGGATTCTCGAATGGAACGAGAGACGAGCAAGGGCGGTTAGTGTTAAAAAATCAAAAGGGGGTGATCGAGAAGGAGATCGGATGTTGCCGAGTCGCGTGCTGTGTCTCACACGACGACTGGCTTTCTGTTTGCACCCACCACGTTCCCCCACAGTCGACCTTGTTTGCGGCTGCCTTGATGGGCTCTGACGGTTCTCTGCGCCGGCGAATGCACGTTCTGGAGCGTGCCCATTCCGACTTTTCCGCCCGTTCGTCGCACACCATGTCGCAGGAGAGAGAGGAGCAAGAGCCATCTCTGACCGAGATGGAGTATGAGACGCCCTCAGAGTCGAGCGAGGACCACTCGACGGCGACTGCGCCTACGTCCCCTCCCAATGCACCAGCACCGCGCTTGGATACACCCAAGTCTCCTAGCCGTGCATGGTACCAATTCGACTTTGCGGTCGTCATTGCACTGCTGTCTCCTGTAGGCAACCTCCTGACCGGTGGAGATCTCATCAAGAACCTTATCTACATCCTCTTTCTCCTTTTTTACTTGCATCAAATCATTGAAGGTGTGTGGGGCAGTACTCTGATGTCAATGTCTGACATCTCTCTCAGTGCCATGGAACATGTACCACGCCGCCCGTATGCGGCAACATCCTCGCACCGCCTCCCCTCCTCCTTCATCCCCTCAAGCTCTTCTCGCTGAGACCGAGTTACATCGCGTAGAGTTGTTCCTTCTCGCCCTTTCTTCTGTGGCCCCTTTCGCCGGGGCATACCTCCTCCGCTACATCCTCCTCCTCATCGCCGGGCGCGACATCCTCTCGTGGTTCTCCACCAACCTCTTCGTGCTCGCCACTGGTATCAGGCCCTGGACACACATCCTCGACCGCCTCTCACAACGCGTCGAGACCCTCCATGACGTCATCCATTATCCTCCCACCAACCGTGAAGTCCCAGACAGAGTCGATCGTATCGAGGAGCGCATAGAGATGTTTGAGCGCCGTCTAAGAGAGACCAACGAGGAGGCCTTTGAGTACGTTGACGAGGCCATTGATGGCGTGGAGAAAAATCAGCGTCGCCATGAACGGAGATGTGAAAAGTCTGAGAGTCGTATGCGCGAACTAGAAATGGCGGTGGAGGCACTGAGGGGCAAAGTGAAGCGCATGCCGATGCACCTCGAGACGGCCAGCAAGCCCTGGCTTTTGGAGTTCATCTTCCCGTCCCAGAGGCGCGTCAAGTACCCGCCATCAGCATCACCCAAGTACTCATTACACTCCTTCTCGACGTCTGCGGAGCGTTTGGATACCATCCCAGAGGAGATGCCGACGGCACCCCCGCCGCCGCCGCCGCCTACGCTCGTCAAGACGCTTACGTCCCTCATCACTCTACCTCTGCGGCCGGTTATTTATGTTTTGTCTTTTGCACGCATCTCGTGATACGTCTATCCCCCGCATTTCTTCTATCTGTACACTTTATTCCACACTCGCATTGCACTGTATGAGTACCAGTATTATTTAGTCTTCGTGTCTCTTGCATGCTTTCTTATTTTGATTGCTTAGCTTACTCTGATCATGAATATCTTACGACTCTTTCCCTATTGTGCACCGTGTGTCTCACGCTCTAGCTGCTACCAGCTACAGTCAACATGGGATATGGTGTAAAGGCTAACATTAGCGCCTCTCGTGGAAGATGAACTGTGCTTGCCGCGCTAGCTCGGGGTTCAATTCCCTGTATCCGAATTGGCCTTGCAAAATTCTGGCTCTGTGCATTTTTGGCTCTAACGAGCTGCTCCTCTACTTGCCATAGAATCCGAGTCGACAACCTGCTGCTGCCGCTGACACGGCCAAGGCATGGTTAACGCCATACCAAAATTGTCAACTCAGCAACAAATCCTTCAATTCTGAAGACAGCAGTGACGGCGCGTAAGTTTTAAATTGTATACCTAACACTCAAAGCACATTGTGGAAGACCTGAGAATGAGAACAAGTCAAATGAGACATCCAGCCTAGGTCTACATCGATAGTACTTGAAAGAATGAGAAATGAATCGAAATCGAGAAGCTCACCGCGTGGTTGTAAGACTCCATGTCAAAGCCATTAACTTGAAGGTAATATTCTCTCTCCTTGCCCACGTCCCATCGTCCGGCTCCCGAGTCACTGAACTTGACAAGCATCCCGACCTCCCGCCTACGAATCGGCGGGTCCGACTCACATAACGACGGTGTATCCTCCATGACAAGGTTGCATTCCTTCGACTATCGCTCACACGTTGATCTAAAGTACAGGATCATTTATAAGGTCGCGGGTCAGAGCTACGTCTTGACGAGGCCGCGCTGTGTACAGACGTTCTTGAGGTCGTTATCTGCCGTGTCATTCAGGTCGCGGTCCACCACCTCACGGTGTGGAATGGTACGCGCCGCGGACGAGGCGGGTTAGGTTAAGGACTCGACGGATGTCTGTATCGTCTCGTTGTACATATCTTGATTCTTGGCCGGAGTTCAGATCTAGATTTCCGTACGCATATCGGATATGGTGTAACGGCTAACATTAGCGCCTCTCATTGGTAACTACGTCGTCTTCGAGCGCGCTAGCTCGGGGTTCGATTCCCCGTATCCGAATGCTTAGGCATGTCCAACCAAGGGGGTTCCAAAATTATAATTTTGTACACTGGGCTGTTTAATTTTTTTCAGCCCTTAAGCTTGACCCTACCTACCTCACTTACCATATATGGTAAGTGCACGTGATCCCGCCTTTGGCAGGGCAGCCTAATTAGGGTCTCGAGCGCCACCTTAATCAAGAATTTGTCTATGACACTTTGTGAATCACCTGTAGCTGATATATTCAGTTACTGAGAGCATTGAAACTAGGACTAATTATATCTCAGAGAACTTACGGGACCATACAGGTACTAGCCCAGCCTTGGCTTAACCCGGTACTGAAGCTAGCATAGGAAATATGTTACATGTATAATATTTTCACTAGTTAAAGACTCAATTGGAGTTCTAAGACTTGTTTAAGTGTCCTCTATAGTCATATTTAAGGTGGTACAAAAAACTTTTTTCAGACCTCCGTGTTGACCCTACCTACCTACCGGGTGTATCGGACTTTAAGTCCGGAACCCCCTTGTGTCCAACTGGTTTTTTATTCAGAATCGTTCTCTGACTTTCCATGTCACGATCATGGATCCGAGTCTGAAGCCATCGAGGAGAGGCTGAACTAGGGTGGCGCAGTAAACCTCGGGGGGTGTTAGTAACGGTATTGATACCAACCCCCCAGGAGGCCCTGGTTTTGAAACCGTTAGTAACGGTTTCGATACCGGCACGTGCTTTTACCACGTGATGTGGCGCACCGCTTCGCCGCCCTCCGCCCGCCCTTATCCCGCCACTTTCAGCTTGCCTGAGGGCCAGTGCGCCATCACGTGAATTTGTCACGTGTCAGTATCGAAACTGTACTGATACCTCGGCCGAGGTTTCGATACCAAATCAATACTGTTAAAAACCGCAGTAAACCCGAGGTGTATCGAAACCTAGGGTTTACTGCACCACCCTAGGCTGAACTTTCCAGGGTGCTCGAGGGGTACGGAGCGGAAGCAAGGGATGTGATGTTGTCCAGGAAACGGGCGAGCCTCGGGGTGACATCGAGGGAGACGGGACCAATACGCGAGAATGAAAGTGCCAGTGGTTCGAGGAGAAGGAATGAGTTCCGACAAGGTGAGTCCGTCTAGTAGTCTCTATGAGCGATCTCCTTAACCCGACTCATTGCTCAATCCAGTAAACCCCAGCGCTCGCTCTCCGCTGCTTGGCTTTAGGGAACGCAAACACTGGACGTCAACGGGACTCTCTCCAAGAAGAGTAGCAGCAGGCTCTGTTCTGTAGACTTTGTAATTCTGTGTCGGACGATAGTATATCGTTCCGGGAGAACAAACTCGAAACCCCAAAGTGTGCCAGGCGTGGCGCTGAGCACGCATCGCGCCGCTGGGGGCTGTATGCAGTGATATTGCGGTTAATGGTGCGTGAGAGAGCGAATGTGGAAGGTCTGTATGAGGATGTCGGTAAGGAGGCGCCGGATGTGAGCATTGATTCGACTGGGAGTCGAGCTGGGAGCGCCGCTCGGCCCCAGAGCGGGCATGCTGGTAGATCTGCCTTGGAGAAGGCGAAGCAGCATTCCACAGCGCGCGCTGGTATCGGGGAACATTGATATGGCGTCGAGATGTTGGATTTGACCGAATGTGTCTAGGAAGAGGATCGTTATCAGTCAGGACGACACGACATGACTAGAAGTGCGCAACGTTGGGCAACTGTTTTTCGTCTATGAATCATGTAACACTGATAAGAAAAAAAACTGACTTGCATAACTAATTAGAGCCAAGGCGCAAAAACTACCCTTGGACAGGTCATTCGGATACGGGGAATCGAACCCCGAGCTAGCGCGCTCAATTCACTGGACGCGTACACCATGAGAGGCGCTAATGTTAGCCGTTACACCATATCCGATGACAAGTATGTCTTTCATCCAAGTCTAGGATGAAGAGCTTTCAGGGCCGCGTTGGATAGGGGGTAACATATTTTACCGTTACCGTGGCCGTGGACGGTTTATGTACTTCACTCTCATCAAACAATGAATGACAATATATTCGTTTGGGCGATGGTCGGTAAGAGACCATCCGACTCAGCCTACAAGCTCTAGGGATCTGCAAGAACCCGACATAGTAGCAAGGGGGTTCCGGACTTAAAGTCCGATACACCCGGTAGGTAGGTAGGGTCAACACGGAGGTCTGAAAAAAGTTTTTTGTACCACCTTAAATATGACTATAGAGGACACTTAAACAAGTCTTAGAACTCCAATTGAGTCTTTAACTAGTGAAAATATTATACATGTAACATATTTCCTATGCTAGCTTCAGTACCGGGTTAAGCCAAGGCTGGGCTAGTACCTGTATGGTCCCGTAAGTTCTCTGAGATATAATTAGTCCTAGTTTCAATGCTCTCAGTAACTGAATATATCAGCTACAGGTGATTCACAAAGTGTCATAGACAAATTCTTGATTAAGGTGGCGCTCGAGACCCTAATTAGGCTGCCCTGCCAAAGGCGGGATCACGTGCACTTACCATATATGGTAAGTGAGGTAGGTAGGGTCAAGCTTAAGGGCTGAAAAAAATTAAACAGCCCAGTGTACAAAATTATAATTTTGGAACCCCCTTGCATAGTAGACTAAGTTAGTTTTTTCAAGTTAGTATGATGTGGGGAGGGATGGTGGTTCAAAAAGCAAGGACTGTAGAGTATTGAGTGAATGCAGGACGAGACTTTCGGCTAGTCAACGTCGCAAGAGACAAGAAGAAGTGATCGACGTTGACTGCCTCTTTCGTACATAAACCACAATCTCCTTTCATTCGTTCCTCAACAACAGGAGATATCAATTTATGTACTTCACTCTCATCAAACAATGAATGACAATATATTCGTTTGGGCGATGGTCGGTAAGAGACCATCCGACTCAGCCTACAAGCTCTAGGGATCTGCAAGAACCCAGTCTGAAGGAGGTATGCCGACGCGCTGCAGGATCCCAAGAGGTAGGAGGCATAACGAATGAGTTAAAGTAGGTAAAGACAGTGGTGTGATAGTATATATGATCAACGGTGTTATGAGTTTCGAATTGGAGGAAGGGTATATGTAATAAACTTCTCGTGTAAGGCAGGATCAGCCTGCATGTATACAGCCAGAATCGCAGCATGTTTGCGGAGGTATCGTAGGAATGCATCACTAGCCCATCGGCCGATCGTCTTCACCGCCTCAAAAGACACTCCGCGTAGAAGATATTCCAGCGTCGCCCCGATTCTGATGCCATGACCTTGCAAAGGTTCCAGGTTCGCCTTCGTGAACGCCAGATGTACTCGCTTGATGAACGCCGACTTCGTTAGTGGTCGAAACTTTCCTTTCTGCTTATAAGCGAACAGGTGCGTATTTGCCGGAGGTTGATTTAGGGCCAAGTGAACTCGCAGAAGGTGTTGGGGGTCGCTCGTGCCGTTCTGCCGTGCCCAGAATACATCTTCGCCAGTAGACGATGTCTTAGTCCAAGGCAAATGGAACGTCGTCTGTTCGAGGCCATTACGGTCTGTTATCTAATAAAGTGCACTGTTAAGAGATGAAGTGTAAGAAAGTGATGAAGCACTGCTACCGTTTCAACGTCTGAGGGCTTGACATGGATTTTGGGATCGAAACTTGTGAGTGTTCGAACCGTGAACTCGCCGAGACGTGCAGCTGAGTAGAACGTTGTGGACAAACAAGCCGCTACTGCGGCGTCTAGAGGAACATCGAGATTGAAGTGAGATAAAAGTGTCTCGATGACGGGAATGGTGTACGGAAGGCGTTTCTTCTGTTTTGAGGACTCTGGCGCTAAGGCCTCTGCTGCGCGAAGTAAGGCGTCTAACTCGTCATCCTTCATCACCCACATCGCTCCGTGGATGACGTGCCATGCGCGAACGCCTGAAACATATCCAGAGATAGTTCCCCCGCCGTAAGATCCCGCCAGTGTCGCGATAAAACTCGAGACTAAAATCGCCGGTGCTGGGCACCTCAAATGTTCGGGGACGCCGCGACGGTCGCAGAAGACGTGCCACGACAGTAAACCAGATCCGTAGGTTTCCAGGGTACCGTCTGCGTATGCGAAAGAGATCACGTCACGGAGACGTTGAATGTCAACCGATGACAGACCAGTCACTGCTGAGCGAGCAGTCGCGGGAGTCCATTTGATGAGTCGGTCGCGGGCAGGGACATGTTCGCGAAGGGGAGATGGAATGATTGCTAGGTGAGGGGGATACGGCCTCACCCAAGCGATTTGTCGTCGTACTGGGAGATTAGAGACGCCAGTCGACGTCAACGAGAGGTTCGGGGAGCCAGTCGAAATCCTGCTGCGGTGACGTGTCATAGACAGACGCGGGATTGGCGGGCTTGGGTAGGGGAGAAATCTTGCCGCGGTGACGTTCTGCGGCGATAGGTGGGCGATCCCATGGGATGAGGAACTGGGCAAGATCTCCTGGTAAATCAAAGTCGGGGAGAAGGAAGGCAGTGGAACCGTATATGCCGCGAGAGGGATTGTCTGCCGGGTTACTTCCCGACCTGACGTAGCGCGTGAATATGGTGATGTCGGCCGCGGCGCAGACGTCGTGTATACGTTTGAAGACGTCGTTAACTGCTGGGTTACGACTGCGCTTGTTCCACCAGCCTTCGACGACGGGAGTGTTGTCGCCGTAGACTTTGATGTACTTGTTTCCTTGGGTACCTGCGATGAAGTGTTAATAAATGAAGAAAATGTTACGATGGTGAATGGCTTGTACCGATTCTTGTGATGAATAAGACCAGTAATTCGAAGCCGATGGCTTCAGCCCATTGAATGTCACGCTCGGGCGAGGTGTTCCACCCGGGTACCAGTCGCCACGCTCGCCACCAATTGCCGATGACGATTGCAACACCCACACTGGAACTGGCGTCTGAAAACGCGCTACAATCCCAGACTCGTACAGGTCGAGGAATTCGTCTAGTGAGGTGTTCGTTGCGTAACTGCGTTGACCACCAGAAGAGGTCGCGCTCTGTACCTCTCGGTGGCGTCCGTGGTTTAAAC